AAGTCTTGACCCGGTCAGAATTAGTCTAAGCCATTTAATTCCTGGTTATAACTTATCACAGAAAATCGTCACTTCACAAACGCACCACAGTACGTTTCAAGCCCCCATGGAAATGACAGGAATACAGAGCCCTGCATACTGGAGGAAAATTAGAAACGCTTTCCTCAATATTTATGATAAATTCCACTCAGCTACCATAAAAACAATGGAACAAAACTCATATGTTCCACGTGTGGCGTGCGTGACAGTGGAAGGCAACAGGAGCTCTGGCTAGGACAGTAAATAAAAGATGAAAGGTGTCTCTTAATGTATCCAGGCACACAGAGCACAACTTATTGTATAACTCCATTAAATGAACAAAGGAAACTCTGCTCCTAACGTGATTAACAGCGGCAGGGACGCAGATCTGCGCGCCCTCCCCCGGGGAAACTTCAAAGACACGTTTCCCCAGACGCACAGACACCCTGTTAGATCAGTAATCTCATATCTTTCCTTTTATTATTTTCCAAGCAGAGTTAGGCAGACACAAGTCAAAATGTGATATAAGCAGGGTTCACTTAAACAGCCAGGGAGGTGTAGTGCACACACAACACGCACACGCGCATTAAATTTACTGTATGCAAACTCTTATTCACACTGCAGACTTGGAGATGTACAGAGGGGTTTAAATAGGAAAAACATTTTACTTAAATGCAGAAATATGCAGATGTTGTTAAAAAGTCTTTGGTGGTCAGTTTATGTATGTTTTGGGTCCGAATGGCACTGGCCGCAGATAATGGAGCCCGGGCCTGCAGACACGGATCGTAAACGGGCCCCACAGCCTCTTCATGTGGCTGTTAAATAATCCGAAGGGCTGGGACAGGCGGTGGCTGGAGAGGTCGACTCATTTTCTAGATAACAGATAACGATCAGTTTCTGGACGCTCAGGCAGAGACAAATGTGTTCAAACACAGACTGACACTGTGATCTCACATTATACTTGACTAACACCGACCTAAATTACCTGACATGTGGCCGTCCGGAGAGGTGGATAAATCAACATCTCAGAAAAGCAACTATTTATGTTTTCACTCGAACCACAGATCCCCTGACAACCAGTTCATTTATCTCTTCGGTTTTATGAATGTGTGCGTTAAGAAATAAACTTTGTAAAGTAAAAACGTGTGGAGTTTACCCCCCGATTTACTTCCCTGATTACAAATACAACAATTTAAAGAATATAAACAAACAATTCGTTAAAAAAACATTTAGTTTTTAATGAATGTTTAAATATGCAAGGCGCAAACTGTACTCCAGACTGGAGCCGTGCACATGAACGCATTGATCGGGGAGTCACTGGGAGCGCTGCTCTTTCAGCGAAATCTGGAAAACGTGGATGTGGGACAAGTTGCTTTCATTCTGGACAAAAGTGCAGCAGTTCGGAAAATGATGCGTTAGGGAGAAAAGTGCAGCAGGCTTGCCACGCTGCAGCAGCAAGAAGCGGGGCAATTAAATCACCGCAGTAAGAGAAGCGCTGCCCTGCGTCACAACGCAACGCAAACCGTTTATTTCCTCAAGTAAACCCAAACAAAAACAATCACTTACTTTTGACTTCTTCATATGGAACGACAGGAGTAAATCCACTGTGTGCGAAAGCCTATTTTATTTTACTTCTACGGGGAGGAAAGGGGCTGTCATCATCCTGTGTGCACATATCCAGTGTCAGGTCAGTAGTATCCAAACGAAGGAGAAAAAAACCCAAAAAAGAGGTAAAAGGAGAAGTGCATAAATGTGTACTTTCAACCTTTGCAACCTGCAGCGGCGTGTGACATCTAACCCATCTATCTACAACATAGATCCAGATACTGAGGGCTCGCAGCGGCGGAGCGGGATAGCGCGCAGAGGGAGGGAGTCAAGGCTTTATAATGACGCGTAAAAAGCAGCCAAAGAGCCGCCCTCTGACGAGAACTAGTGTGAGGAGCTTCACTCCAAAACCACCGATACCACCAGTGTTGGGAAGCTGCCACTTCACACTGGAATAAGTTGAACAGCGGCAGAGCTGAGGAAAAGGCGATTTCTCAAAGATACATTTCTCCCTGGGGAGAAAACTAGTTTGGTTATCTAAAGCAACGTAGAAAAAGTAGTTCAAAGTACAAAAAATGATCAATTTGACAAATCAACAGGATACAAACTTAGAACAAAATGTAATAAAAATATCACATGCCAGCAAAAAATTTCATTCAGCTGAGTTTGTTACCTCAGATCTAAACCTGTCCTCAGTAAAACAGTCCCATCATTCACAAGGACAACATTGCAAGGGATTAGGCATTTAGGTTGTAAACAAATCTAGATTTTGTATTAACTGTCTACAAGCAATATATATATATATATATAAAAAACCCCTTTCAACTTTTTGGACCATTTGAGCTACTTGAACACTGGTCTAAAAAATGGGGCTGTTGTCTTGTCGGCTCTGAGGCATAAAACTTAATTGTACCAACAGTCTTCAACTTGTACCTTTAGACAGTATCAACAGCTTGAACACTGATCTAAATAATATGTGCCTTGTCAGAGCAGAGCCTCTTGTTTTATATGACACATGAGCCTTCTGTCAAAGTTCTTATCTGGCAGGCGGCTCCCTCTGGCACTGAAAAAGTCCCGATAATGCTGGAAACCTGCTCACACGCAGCAGGGGAAAAACAAATCATTTCCTTTTATGGCCCAAAATTGTTCATAGTTTCAGAAGTTAGTGCAACTACAGACAAAAATGACAAAAAGTCATGTATCTAAGTGACCTGTGCCTCACACACAGACACACAATACAGATTCCTGCAGTGATTCTGACCTGGACTCAGTATATCTAAACTCATTTATATGAATGTTTTAGCACAGAATTAGTTGGATTACAAAGTGCATTTGAAACTGAAATGTTTCAGGAATTATGGTTACAATAGAGCAAGTCACAAAATGATTTAACATGAACACTGTGAGACCGCGCCCTCCTGTTGTGTGTGTCTCTGTGTGTAGCTGAATGAATGAGTGACTCAGTAACTGAATGAGTCAAAGTGTGTGTGACAGCATCAAAGATCGGAATTTTTTATAATAAACTGTAAAACCTCAGCTCCTTGTGAATAACAATTAAAAATCAAGAGGGAATAAAACATGACTGGTCTGGTTCACTTTCTAAAGCTTGACCATGTCTTTCTTACAAACATAATTTATAAGATGTAGGTAGATTTCAACAATGAATGTCAGTATTTAACCTTACATTAACAACAGTTTGATAAAATGTAGGCATTGCATACAACATGCACCACATCTCATCTTTTTTGTTGGTTATTATCCAGTACGTTAGTCTTTGTACACCATGAGGCACCAATTGTGCAGATGAGGTATTTCACAATCTGGTGGGATTATTTTTAGCTTTTGATTGTTTATATTGCATTACTGTTGATTTTAGAGGGACCTAATAATATGTATTGGTATTTCCTGTTGTTCCCTCTGGGGTTATTTGTGGGACATTTTTAAGCAGTGGTCACTGTGAACAGTTTTACACTAGTGATATTATTTCTTTTATTCTACAACTTTTACATTAGAAATATACATTTGCTATGCGTTTTAATGATATGCTGAAGAATTCTGAAACAACATTTTTGAGTTGCACATGACATCAGTCTCTTTCAAACCTATTTCTGTGTGCAGCATCACCACAGGCATTTTCAGTGAGTGACAGTTAAGGAGGAAAAAGTGACTTTGAGACATGAATCGTTTTCATAAACATGTTTATCAGGCTTGTCTGCAAACTCTTACTGCACTGTAGGTACTATTGAGGGAAGCATGGAAGCTTGCTGAGCATTTGCCTGAAGGGAAGAACCAAACATGCACAAGGAATGATACACTATTCCATCCATTATCTACATCGCTTATTCCTGAATAGGGTCACGGAGTCAGAGCCAGTCCCAGCTGACACTGGGCGAGAGGCGGGGTCCACCCTGGACAGGTCACCAGTCTATCACAGTGCTGACATATAGACAAACAACCACACACTCAAACTCACTCCGACAGGCAATTTAGGGTCACTAATCAACCTAAACCACATGTCTTTGTTCTGTGGGAGGAAGCTGGAGCACCCGGAGAGAACCCACGCAGGCACAGGGAGAACATGCACACTCCACACAGAAAGGCAGAGTCCAACCTGGAACCTTCTTGCTGTGAGGCGACAGTGCTAATCACTGTTCCACCATGCCACCCATGATACAGTATTCACCATATCTCATTAGTATCAATGGGATTTAAATGTTGACAGACGACATCTGTTGCTGGGGAATTACCATTCATGCTGTTAGAAAAGTCTGAAGTTGCTTTATTGTCAGGAAACAGGGAATATATTGTATTTCGTTTTACTGTAAATCCTGTCCTGTAGCACTGCCTCATTCTGACTCTGTTTTTCAGCTAACACATACCTTGGCATGTCAACAATTCTATACTGTAGGAGTACCTTTCTACAGTGTATTACAAATGTAAACACATCATTTAATCAGATCCTGTTTGTTACTACATACAGCACAACATCGCCTTGATATAAGATAAATTACACAATGAGACTTCTGTTTAGTAAATAACCAAAACCGAGATAATGGTTTCTTAATGACTCTTCTGTTTTTCTGTTGAAGCTTCACGGAGGCAGAGTTTATTTACTGTGCTGGAGGAACAGCCTATAATAACAGGATCGCTAACTCGGGCATTTGGCAGCGGCACTGGTGCCTTCAGGGAGAAACAAACTGTCATGTTTTGGTAATTTGAGGACCCAGATGGAGACTGAGACAAGAAAGCAGTGATGAGCAGTGGTGGCACATGACTAAATACCATTTTTTAGATATCTGTACTTTACATGAGTATTCTAATTTGTTGCTACTTCACACTTTGACTTCACTACATATTAGAGGGAAATGTACTTCTTACTCCACTACATTTATCTGATAACTACTGTAATTGCTGAGTGTTGTTGAGTGAATATCCCCTCAAAACACAAGGAAAGGACACAAGTGAGGGATATGTGGATGCAATTAAGGGATTTGGGATGAACCCCATGACAGCTCTTATGAATACGTTACATGTAAGAGCTTCAAGCAAAGTTCTGGTGTCAGGACTCATCAGAGAAGAATGAGGCCTGTGTGTGGTGATTTGTCTGAGTGCAGATCAGCTGCAGGTAAATCACAGTGAGCTTTCAAAAGCTTTTGTGGTGTAGCTGCAGAAATTGCATAACAACATGGATTGTTTGCAGAGAAATAAAAGGATTAACATTCAGATGTGTAGCTGTTTACTGAATGACCACCACCTACACTGAGCCACTCAGCACCTCTCATGTAGTCTGAGAGGCATAACAACTCTAGAGTAGGTGCTTACTTTCAAAATCTGTCTGTAGAAAATGGATTTTTATGGATGATATAATCTAGACTGGCAAGAAATAGTACTTAACAATGTGAGGCCCACATGTAGTGTCTGGACAGTCTGGCAACTGTATCCTCATTAAAGCTGGTTTAATTGATTTGTGCCAGAAAAACGCACAGACAAGCCGTTAAACACACAACCGGGACATGTTTTCATCTGCTAATGGTTTACTTCCTCAAAACAATTCATTTCTCACTGATGCAGGTAAGAGGCCATTAATGTCAGCTAATCTCTGTTACAACCCAGGTGGTGTCTTTTTTATATGTGCACTAGGCACCCGACTCTTGACCTTTACACCTTTCCCACTTCCACATCCATGATTAATGAGCACTGAACTGAAAGTCCCACATCTGCAGGATTAAGCAAGAGACTTTTTGGATCCTAAGTGAACCCCATAAATTAGGAGGGTTCCCTGAATGCATTCCTGAGTCCACAGCCTGACAGCACACATGCTTTTAAAATGTAAATGCTCCGAAAGCCATAAACATAACGACCTTTCTGCTGCAGTCATATGTGTAGGGTGGTGGCCTCTGCATCTACACAAAACTTCCCACATCTCCTGCAGCTAAAAGCACATAACAACAATGGTCATCACATCGTACATCCATGGGTGTGATTCTCGTTACATAATGGAAACCTCACTGACCAGTTGTCACTGTGGTACAGTGGTTTTGACTGAATTCTTATTGGAATGAATTTCCTTATAATGTAATAATATTTCAGCTTTTCCATTATATTGCTTTGATGTGTTCTGTTTTTATGAAACTGTCTGACAAACATATCCCAGTTGAAAGATACAAAGTTAAGAACAAAGCAAATCTTCCATTCTCGCCTGATTTGGCCTTGGCCATCAGAGAGAGATGTGCCTGGGCTAAAGCCAAACACACAATCTCAGCTAATGATTGGCTAGTTTTTAGACAGTTACATAATAGGTGCATTAGACTGGTGAAGAAAGCCAAGAAAGCTGTCCTTATTTTTACAGCAACACAATAGCAGCTTCTTATGACAACCCGTCCAACATTTGGAACGCTTGAAAGCTTCTCTGAGATAGCGCTGCCTGTTCTCTCCCTCAGCACATAATTACTTACCAAGGCACAGATAGGAATAAGTACAAACATATTTAACTGTTACTTCATCTTTGCTGGTGAATATGCCTTGTGCTATGAGGTTACCTCATATTCTTCCCCAGGGCCATTTCCCAAAACTAACTCTCCTATCACAGACCTGAAGGATAATTTATATTATACTTTTTAAAAATTTATTCTAAATGCTAATCAACTCACACACCCTTCATTTTGCCCTATGCCTTGCAAACTGTAATTGTATGTTCTGATCTGTTAATGATTCCTAAAGGAGGACCTCAAGATTTTATGCTACAGTAGGTCCTTTACTCTTCTCTTTGTTCATCAACAATAAATCAGTCTAATTATTAC